CGTGGTACCATGAGTTTGGACTTAGCTCTAAGGTTAATATTATGGATGTCTTCTTTCTTATTGAAATTATGTATATAACGATCTGTTAACTTATACTATACTACGTGAAACCTGTACTTAACCCAAAACATAACTTAGAAAGTTCGGCTTTTCTTTAAAGCTCGTATTTAACGTATTGATAAATATAAGGATAACAAGTAATATACCTCTTTCTAGTATTCATGTAGGTACATAAATATCAGGACTGAAGTTCCCGTCGCTATTTGCACTGTTGTTATTACGCGGGTGTTTTGTCTATGATTATAATTAATAGTTTACATCAGGGCAATATAATGGTTTGCATTAAAATAAGAACGTGTGTCTGCACTTCACAAATTGATTTCGATACTAGTGGGCCAACTGTCAAATCAAGAATAAAAATTTTGGTAACGCAATTATTAATCATTAAAACGTCATAATATTCATTCGTACATTCTCTGCAAAATTTTATTTTCTTTCACAATCTATCGATAAAGCTGTCGACAACAACTGAATGACTGTTTATTTTACGAAAACTGGTAGCCCTGCAATCGTCATTTTACTCCATCTACAAGAAAAGATACAACATTTTTAATTAAATTTTTTTTTTGTGAAATTACTCCACTAGTTTGTTGTATCTAATATGTATTTGTTGTATTAATAATTATACAGCATTTTGTTTTTAAAGTTAGAAGACTGGTTAGTTTGAATTTCCGACTGCTGTTTTGAATTTTGGCTGTGATATAAAGCGATATGATTCGTCAGTTTTATTTATCCGGGACTTTTCTTGGAGCATATTAAATGGATTTCATGATACTTGAATTAGCAATGTAGGTAGTAGGTAAATGGGGCTTTAAAGTGCTACATGGTATGTTAGCGACACGTTTCATAAACACGTTCTTCAATGTTAAAAATGAAAGTTAAAATGCGCGTTGACCTTGGGTGACCGGCTTTGTTATTCCACAATCCAATTAATTGCATTATGTACTCTTTCTGACTTTGTTCGGTCCTCTGGGAAGACTTTAAATCATATTTAATTGAGTAATCGGGCAGAACACTGCTTAAGCCTAACCTGAGTGCCTGCGTACGCATAGACTCTGACCTGCGAGAGTCGTTGAGCTTGAGCATGACTTTCCACTGCGCGCAATCAGGACTCGAACAGTACTTGCGCAGATTATCCAACGCTTTCTTGGTCTCACGTGCGCCTTCCTCGTAGTACTCTTCGCTGGTTAGAAGACGGAGCTTTGGCGGGAATCGACGACGCCTGGAAACGATATTAAATATATTATTCGTGTCAATCTTCTAGTGAAAGGTCTGCTTTATGTTGGTTTTCTGTTACATTCATTTTCTGAATATGTTTCAGCGGAATAATTTGGTTTAAGCCCTTCGGTACAATCGGTCTACTTTCCCGATCGGTCCATTTGTTTTTCCCGATTCGTCTATTTCCCATTTCATCTACTTTCCCGTTTTCGTATCAATTATAATAATTGAATATAAATAAATATATCCTAATGCTAAAAAGGATACATTTATATTCATTTATTATTACTGTGTTGTACAATATTGATCGCGATATGTTGAGCCCCGTACTCTTTCTTAATTTTTTATAATATCAAGTGACAGGACGAACAAGTCGTGCGCCTGATGCTATATGCCTGTCCATAATAGTTGCAGTGCCACTAAAAGTTTTAAATCGCAAAGATCTGAGGGGCACTGCCACTGCACCCTTCACCCTGAGACATAAGTTGACAAGTCCCGAGTGTCTGTAATTTCACCAGTCTGTATGACGCGAGGCGGAAAGTTATCAAGCAGTCAAACCTGAGGTTAACCTATACAAACATAGTGACATGTAACGAAATATAAAAAACTAAAACATTTAATTTAAATTGTAATGTCATTGCAGTACTGCCTAAATTTGCTTACAACAATTTAAGGGTCCAAAAACACCATATTTAGCTTCGACTGAAACTTACTTGAACACAAGAGTAATGGAATAGCCTTTCTCGTAAATATTAATTTTTTTTTTATATATATTATTATGTCGAATTTTGTACAAATCCACTTAAAGGTATAATAAAGAGTTAGGCAGATACATACATACAATTATTACTACAAATGTGAAAATAAGCATGTACTATAAGAAATGTACCGATATTCTAACTAAACGTAAACTCGAATATCCGTAATTCCGATTTATTACGCTTTCCATTACGCTTTCGAGTAACTTTGATGCTTTTTACATAGACAAAAGTAGCTTTTGTTTTGTAATCTTCGTAAAAACACATTATGAAAATTCGAGAAAATGTTATTTCGGGCAAGTGTATTTTCTGATTTCTGATAGGTAATATCATGCCGTAAAACGAGTACAACAATATTTTGTTAGTTATTGCTAACGTGTAATAAAAAAATCATTTTAAAAATAGGTTTAAAATCAAAGCAACTCTACAGTTTCTTTGTTCTAAATATTTCAATCGCTTGTGGTTCGAACAATTGAAAATGACCAAGAAGTTTATATAAGCTTCTTGAAACTGACGTAATGGGTCTCTTTCCATCTTTTGCGCATGCAATGAGTAGAAAAAGGGCAAGTAGCTATTTCATTATTTCGTGTGCTTTTATAATTTATATTTACGATTCAGTTATATTATAAATTAAATGCTATAAAACTGTACAAAATAACACTCTTAAATGACAACTATGATAACACAATATATTTGTTTAGTGAAAATATGATACAAAATCCTGTTTTCACACTTTATTGCACTAATTTTTACAAGTTATCATTTGTACTGCATATATTGGTACCGCATGATTGACAACCGCGCTGTCACTCGAACAAACGAAGACTATTGCGCGATTGATGCTCTGTATGCGATTTTAACGCTCTACAAGTGCGGACACTTTTTAGCGCGAACCCGACGTCCATGGAAAAATGTATACATATCGAGTGCATTTTCGTTTGAAGTTTGATATATTTCGAATAGCAACAATATAACAAAAAATAACTTACCAATACCCCTGAATTTTGTGAATAAGAGAATCAGGGAAATATTTAACGCATAAAGAAATAACGATGATAGCTGCTGAAGCCTCCTGGTATTCGCTACTGAAGAATATCATTAGAACTCCTACAGCCTGAAATAATAGTAAACTAGTTAATTTATCCTATCAAATAGAAGTACACTAAAGCCTATTAAATTTAGATGCTCACCATTATGCAGAATTTGAAATTTTATTTCTCTACTGAGGTAATTATTAATTCATTCTAACGATTATAAGTACCTGTAAAATCCACATAACAAGATTCTTGCTCCTCTGATTACGGGGTGGTCCAATCCTATAGCAGACTAAAAAGCTGATGAAGCTCATTATGACCGTATACCAGAACGAATACGACTGGTGTAATAGTATAATCATTCTTATATTGTCCCATAATTGTTGGAAAAGATAGACTCCTACTGTCCATCCGCCTATTAGAATTCCATATGTTAGTATTTTCTGCAAACATAAATTAGTCATTGTCAAAGTGCTGTACACTTTTCCTTGTTTTGTTTTTTGTATGCTTAGACCATTTTGACGCTGACAGTACTACGTAATAAAATAATTTATTATCAATCAATATCATTTCTATCGATTGGTAGTCAAAGTAACAAAAAAATACATTAACACTTGTGTGAATTACCAAAACAGATAAAATTGTTAGAGAATACTCACCCTAGGCAGCATTCTGCTGACATAATAAACAAGCACCATAAACGATGCAAAAACTCCGATAAACATTCCGCAAAGATAGAAGAATACAGAGTTCCCGCTCAGAGTACGGGATAAAAATATGAGGGTAATGCCCAGGCACATGAGAAACACTCTCCATATATCTACTCCTGAAATAATATTTTATCATGAAACATTTTCTTATTACTAAACATTTGTTGCACCATTGCAACCCAGTTCCGGCTGCATCAATTCTGCTCAATTGGCCCGATTAAGAAGCAGTAGCATTGCGATCGTGAAGACTAAACCCGGTGCAGTTACATAAGCCAACTCCTCCCTGGCTCAAGTATATCACCGAACCGGAGATTGGGTGAAATTGAGACTGACCCTTAGGGCGCCGTCAAATTAGACGCTTATAGAAGCTCTGCAGTGGCACCACGGTGGCGCTGCAGTCGCGCCACTTCTAACTTTCATACAATATTTAAATGCGTAGTTGCAGCATCACTGTTGTGACACAAGCGTGCCAATTTTGCAATCACAATCAGTGAACTAAAAATTATTCGCCCCACTGCGACGCTTCTACAAGCGTCTAATGTGAAGGAGCCCTTAGGGTAGCAGTGAAATAATTATCAAAGTAACTATCCTAATTTGTTATACTTACTAATAACCTGTAGTTCAATAGTATGCCTCTGTTTAGTATTAACAGCCATGCAAGTAGGTAAAAACAGATCTACGGACACAGATCTTTGGGTTTTCTGGCTAAAAGGGTTGATAACTGCCCAGCCGTAACTATCCTCTGTGTACTGCTTGAAAACTTCCTCTGGGCTACTACCAAAATACATATCGAATTCTTCATTCTTGATTTTTAAATTGAACTAAAACAAAATTTTTACAGCTTAGTTTAAAATTTTGATGTCAACATGTTGTGTTATTATTAGTTGGGAGGTCTATTTTCAACAGTGATGAATGATGATTAGAAGGGTTAGCAAATATAGGCGCTTTCAATTCGAAATGTGTAAGAACTCGAGTCGGAATGCTTGTGAGAGATAGTTAGGAGTAATTTAGGCAGCAATATGTAGTTCTAAAAACCTATCCAGATATACGTGATATTCGCTAGTGCTGTATGTGGCGAAATACAAGTGGGTATGTGGTATTTCTACTCACTTCACTTCTGTGCCGTCAGTGTATACGACCACCACGCTATAACCGTGCGTAACATGTAATCTCATTAGATAACTGTTTCGACGTCACGATCGCAAATGAATCCATTAAATACGGTAACTAATCGTCACTCATTTGTGGAGGGAATGAATTTGCTGCTGCTGCCGCGCCGTCTGGCGAAACCAATTTTGCAAAGTAAAAGATATCGCCGTCCTGGACGATATGGTGCAGTATCTTTGTTTCGCTTTAATTGCGGAACTTGATACAAATTCCCGATAGGATACCGATATCTTCGCTACCCCCTAACCACAGTGGTAGCGAATATCGCTCATATCTCAATAGGCCTCTATATTGCATAAAGCCTAATTATAACCAATATAAATAACATAGTAGTACAATCCCTTATATAAATAATAACAAGTAGGAACCTTTTCAAACAATGATATTATACTTGTTTCAAATGTTATGAAATCCTTTTTGAAACGAGCAAATGTTCTTGTTTATTTGCAACCATTATAATAAAATTATAAGTAAAGAAATATTAAGCAGTTACAATTAAAAGCAAATAGTATATTCTCCATACATATGGTACAAATTTTTCAAATAAATGCAAACTATTCTCATTCTCACTACACTCACTTTATTACATAACATTTTGTCCATATATTGAAAACGAAATATAGTAATTGTAGAAATTGAAGAAAAGTAATTGAAGAAAAAGAAACAAATGTTGCCACATCCACACCTGCTGTTTGTAGTTTGGAGCTATCGGAAATAATGGTGCAACCAACAACAATGGCACAATGTATGTAATAGTAGAGTTGTGCGAATTATACAAAAATACATACTGAATTTATTATAACATACTATGAAACTAAAGAATGGGAAAAGTCTATACTTATGTCGCAATCGCTAGGTGAGATATTTCTGAGAGAGTTTAAAGTGGTTTATTGTGTATATATAGTGTGTATATATAGTGGGATATCGCCGTCCTGGATGATATGGTGCAGTATCTTTGTTTCGCTTTAATTGCGGAACTTGATACAAATTCCCGATAGGACATTCCTTCTAACATTGGGTTATCAAGTGACCATGATAAAAAACAATACACAATGTTTAGAATGCAATTAAAATACAATATGAATATCACTGATTTCATATAATATTAATGAATAAACATATTAACTTTAATATGTTTGTAATACAGTTAGGTCAGACTCAGTAAAATTATATTTATTTTGTATATGTTAACTTCCATACAACCTGTGTTTTCACAAGTAAATTCATTATGACTATGATAAGTATGTAAAAAAAGCATGGTATCAATCTATTAGTATATGTATGTGTAAGTTCATCATCATCAAGTAAAGCAAACATAACCAACAAGTATGTTATCAATGAAACGAGAATAAATCACTTACAGAAATAGCCACAATTAGTAAACATGTTGGCTAAATTTGAAAATTTGCAATTCCGTATTTGGGTGGAATTCCTTTTTTGCTCTTCAAGTGCAATATTGGGTAATTAAAGATTAAAATAAAATTTGTAGACCTCATTTTAATTATAAAATAAAGGTATAATCACTGATTGTGTATACAATTATTTCTAGTAATTCTGTTTTTTGTGCCTACTCAACAGTTCACATTGACGGAGGTAACAAGGTTTACGAATTTAGGTGACGATAAGCAATTCATCTAAAATAGTCACAAAGATAATATCATAATTAAAAAATATCAATAGAAACTATCAAGAGTTTGCTATTGGTCATGAATATAAAAGAGCAAATGTAAATGGGCTACTAATCATAACAGCCCAAATGGTAGCATCAATTAACAATAACATGAGAAAAATAGCAAAAGTATTTTTTTGCTTACCTTTATTGTTTGCCATAAAGCTAATACACTCTTAGGTGTTCCAGAGTAACAGTAGATGTCAACTTTTTGGCCCATAGTGCCATCCTTTTCAATAGTTGTAGATCCGCCTAACCAATGTGCTTAAAATAAAGTATAATAATAAGTCCATAAGTGTGGTTAAAACGAACCAACAGACAGAAAAAGAAAGGAAAACCAGATAATAATAACAAAGTATTTAACTATTTTAGAATCTTGTTTCAAAATATAGTATTGCTTTAGATATAAAGTTTTGAAAAAATTTGTGGACTTTCTCAACATGCAAAAAAAACACTAGTACTGAATATAAAAAGCACCTATAGACTTTGGTTAGAATATAAAAAACTAAAATATCAAACTCTAAAATATCATAGCATTACTGCTTTATACAATTTTTATTTATTTCATATTCAAATCATCAAAGTGGTACTCGTCATCTACAGACTTAATATAACTTTAAATTTAAAGCCTATAACACGCTTGTTTTTTAATGAACATACCGTTATAATTTGATGAATTAGCTTGTGTAAATAGTACACAAAACCACAATAGAAAAGCACAACTACAAACTCGAATTTCCATGTTTTTCTTTAATTTAGGAACTTTCAACTTTATACACTACAAAACAGTTTTATTCTTTCATATCGTCAAAAGATTTTATTTTTCTGTGTAAATACTACATTTAATATTACAACAACAAAGCAAACGACAGATAAAATGGAAAATCGTATGACACTAAATTTGACACACAACCAGACACAACTCCACAGAATACTATATGCACAACTCAATTCGTTTGTCACCATCGTGTCAGTTCGAAGTTTTTTGGGCAACATGCAGGGGATGCTTTAAATAAGTGGCCGCCATTAAGGACGTAGAATAGATGCTTTTAAAAGCTGCCATCTATTATCAAGTAGATAGAATTAAGGTGAACAAGAATCAATCATGAATCAAATCTTTTAGCAGGAAAATCGAATCGGCACATTATTAACACGTTCCCTGTGCATGCATCATATGTGATGCATTTCGAGGTCCAAACGACACGTGAGTGCACCACATATGAGACACGACCCTTTGTAAATTTAAAAGTTTTTCAAAATTTGCACGTGTAAGCTAGATCATCTTTATTTGCTTGCACGTATGGACCACAAAAATTGTGACAATAAGCAAGTGGTACCGGACACGGCCGGTAATCTACCTATAGAAAACCGCTCGCAATAGCGGCCATCTTTTTTAATGAATAATGACATTTGTCATTTTTGTTTCCTTGCTGTGATTGGCTGCCGCAGGCGTAGGTAGCCTTTCCGCCATCTTGGGTAGTGATCGTAGTATTTTACACGTTGTTATTGTTTTGTTGTTTTCACCTTGTAGTGGCTTGTAGCTTGTTTGTACAGGTTCGGATCGAGTGAAGACGTGACGTGCTTATCCTCTCCGTTAATTCTGTATTGTGTGTTTGTATTTTGCTTCATACAAAATGTACGAGTGTTGTGTATGTAAAAGTTCACGACAGGACGCTATTTTACATCATTTTCCTCGCACTGAGAAAAGACTCATGAAGTGGTTAAAGTGTCTAAATCGTGATAATCTGAAAAAGTTATCACCAGAAGAACTTTCAAACGTTTTTGTATGTCAAAAACACTTTGAAAAGAGGTTTATTACGCCGAAATCACGTCTCATAGGCAGTGCATATCCATGTTTGTTTACCGAAGACGAGATTTCCTCTGGAATACCATCACAGGACAATGCCGGTAAGTTTTAAGTACAGACTTTACTATAGCCTTCTAATCTCTACGTCCTAACAGACTTTTAATATGAGCTTAGCCCGTAGTTGCTTTGTAGAAATAAAATATTAATAACTATAACCGTCATCTAAGAAACAAATTCGCAATTGCCGACGTTGGTGTATCCAGCGTTAATAACTTATAACAATTTAAGTACTTACTTAATTTTAAAACTAAAGAAATAGTATTGAGTTTTGAATTGTTTGTTTATACCTGCATGTGTTAGTGTTTATACCCGGATGTGTCCTAGTTCGAAGGAATAACTTTTAATGTTATTAATATTAATTGTTTTGTTTATTTTGCACTTACAGAAAACATGGATATTGATTTGGAGCATAGTTACTCGCGTAAAAGACACTTTGACCACACATACTTTCAAAGGGAACCACTAAAAGGTCAGTAATGCAGTTTGTATTACTGTAACATTTTCTAGTAAAACTGTTGAAATGGATTTATTGCATGTAAATTTATATTCTGACATATTGGCCCCTTTACTGGTTCGATATTATAGTATGCGATAATATAGTATACATAATGCTTGTTGCAAATAAATAACAAGTTATTATTTTCAACTATCACCTATCACATTTATTTAACTCTCACTCATAAACACACAGAATACCAAAATACCTTCAGGAGAGACTTGCATAAAATTATAGTGTGTAATTTCTCACGTTTCAGAAGTAATTGCCTCTAGCTCCAGTGAGTCTCAGAATGTGCCTGGCCCATCGCAAATTTCACCGCCTAAACAGGACTTAGGTAATGGAATTTTTTTGTTGGACTCAAGTTATAAAGGATAGTTTAAACGGTGTGTCAACTTTTCATTTTTTACACAATTCTGAAGCAACTTGTACTTATAGACCATCAGTGAGTGTGGACAAATGGTGCTACAATCTCTCCCACAATACCTCGTTTATTGTAGATGTTAATTATGTATGTTTATTGTGATCTATTTTATAAACATCATCTATCTGTTTTATATGATGGAAACATCTTGTTTCTCAACAGTACCTAATTATTTTTCAGTTAATCCTGTAATCATTGAACCAGTGATGAATGAAGCATTTCAAGCCTCTGGTAAGTAATTTTGAGTTATTATTGTTGTATTATTACCACATGAATATGTTTGCAATGAACCTTTATTTACTCCATGCTGGATATGCAGAGGTCCTGAGTTTGTTCCCTGTTCAGACATTAATTTTCTTTGTATTATGTAACCTAGTATATTCTTCTAATAACCTTATGTATAGTCGAAAATACAACAAACTTGTAACATACAACATAATATGTAAGTGTGCAGCTGCATGTTGTTATAATGTTTTACATTCCATAGTACTTGACTTCATCATTCACTTTTGTGTTTTCCAGGCTTGGATACAGTCAGAATTGCTAAGGATCCGAAACCTATGAGAAGACGTTTAATCACGAAAGTAAAAGATTTGTTACCAACATGCAAAAGTATTTATAAAGAATACAAAAAGTCTAAACAGCAGGCCGATTTTCATCGAAGAGCTAAGAGAGCCCTTCAGTTTAATAAGAAAATGTCGTTCGAAAAATTAACAAATAAAATGAATCCTTATGCAAAAAACAACAACAACATAACAAATATTGAGTTGTTTTATTTATTTTATTTTATCGTATTATTTTATATAAATGAAATGGAACCCCTAACCACCTTTTTTTTTTTAAAGTATGGATGTATACGTTCTGCTCCTTTGCAAGACAATATCGTCTACCTATTAAAAAAAAATGGAATGTCAGTCGACATTAGTATCACAGATTAAAAATAATTCTTACTACTGAAAAAAAAGTACTACAGTGAGCAGTCTGAACGTAGTTCACTAAGTAGTCTGTGGTACCGGATGACTTTTTAACCAATGTTGCCAGATTATTACTATCAAAATAAATCACGAAAAATATTTATTATTTTTTTATTACAAGTTAGAAAGATCTAATTATTGACTTGCGTATACGGCACGTGATAATAAAAACTAAACAATAATCAAATAAACAATGTCATAAAACCCAAGAAACAATAATTATCTAGTAAGCACAACTAAAATCATTATTTAATGGCTAGCATTGTAGCAATGAAGGCACAATGCTTTTTTACACATCAAACATTCGGTGTCCGTTTGCTTTGCCTTTCTACGAGCTTCTGTAGGTGTGTTGCCTTGTTCAGTCATAATTTTGTAGCAACCAACACAACGCTTTCTGGAAATTTTGGTAGCACATCGGCATGGGATTTTGGTCAATTCATGGCGGGAATAGTTAGATGTCATTGATGGCCCAGCTAACGGCTCAGCATCTTGAATTTCCAGATGACTGATAATTATTTCATGACCTGTCAGCAGTGTCATTTTATTATTTCGATGGAGGTCCTTGTAGATCAAAATTGCATTTACAACAGCTACCGACATCAGATCATCCGCAATTTTTTTATACCAAAAACAAGTTTTGCGAACGGGCGAATTGTAACTTGCGAGCTGATCAGCTATATCAATGCCCTTCTTGCCGGGATTGTAATCTAATACAATTTTAGGTTTCATGATTGGCCTGAAACCAGTGGACATTGCCATTTGATGATCATGACATGTTGGTAAAATCAAAACTTTGTCAAACACTTAGATAACTATATAACTCGTAACACTTTATAATAAACTTTCACTAACTTTTTCTATCTTTTCACGGTATAGACTACACATAGACTACAGATATTTAACTAAAACATCTGTCAAAATGACTCTAAACGTGCATGAATTATATGTAATGCATTAAGTAAACAACTAGTACGTGCATGCACCATATATGTGGCATCAAGTAAAGAGCTCATACGTGCGTGTATCATATATGGGGCACTCGGGAAAAATTAGATAATGGAAAGGGAGTTTATGAAAATGAGTTTTCTATCCATAAATGTATTAATATATATCAATTCCGACGTATTTGCAAAAAAAAAAATTGCACGTGAGGGGTCAATTTTTGATTTCTAGTTCCACAGGGAACGTGTTAAATAATTATTAGGTGATTCTTTGATCTTAAAAAGCCTGTCTTTGATCGTATGCATAAGTGTTTAATAAAATATTTGTACTACAAACGGAATTTTGGTTAGTGCTTTACATAGTTAACGCTAAAAGTTAATGTCAAATCTAAGTAAGGAGAGAGAGGCCATTTAAATTTGAAGAAAATATTCTCCCTCTAAAAGTGGCAAACTAGTGGATGAATCCGGTTTCGCGCACTTTCCGGTAACCGATTTCAATAAGACTTGGCAAATAGATGTAAGTCCACAAACTTTTGAGGTCAGCTTTTTAGTACTCTGTACTGACATTATTATTGATATTTTTGATGACCCTACACTCCTATAGATAAGACAGGTTGTCAGTTTCCATTAAGTGCACAAGAACTTCTCAAACATTTGGAATTTTACAATAAGTAATATTTACAATTAAAAGCCATGTCATCATACTTTTGGAAAAGTATACATTTATTTTTTGTTAAAGTTGACTGTTTTGTGTAATTATTAATGTATCTTTGTTTAGATTTAGTTCTGGTTTAGATAAAAGCTAAAATAATAAACCATGCTGCATAGATCAATAACAAAGCACGGACTTGTATACTATTACTAAACTGGACTGCGCACTAACATAATAAAACGAGCGGAGAGAGAGGCTTCAAAATAGTAATGCGTCACTTTCTAATGTTTTTTACATTTTAGTTTTTACAGGAATGTGGCCACTTGGATGACCAAAACTAGTAATATTATTTTATAATACAATTGGTATACTTATTTGCTAGGCTACTTTATAATAGAAGGATGATAGAAGATTTGAAGTTCAGAAAAAGTGGGCAGTTTTATATGAAGTTTATGAAGTATCCGTATAACAAAGTCAATGTCATTGTAATGTCAACTTTTTTTTTTTTCAAAACGACTGTGTGACCAGATTTAGCAGGATCCTGCTACTCTAGCGGCCCCTAATTTAAGGCTTATAATAGCAAGAAAAAGTAGGCAGTTTTTAGCAGGATCTAATAAAACATTAGCAGATATTTACTGATTACAAAACCAAGTTTTACATGGTTACTTAGTAAGAAATGTAAACAAAATTCTACCATTTTGAAGTAATGTCTTATTTTTCTTAACGTACTGATAATTCTAGTACCATTTTAGAGAATTTCCCAAACATGTCGTTAGTCCAGATGTACAGGGTATTAACTCAAAAACACAGATTCTTCAGGAGTGCAATTTTAAAGTTTTTTCTAACATTATTTCAGCCGCTATTGGTTTTTCCTCACATGTATATATTTAAAATTTAAACCTAAACATTTAACAATATTTTCAAATACTTCTTATTCAGTTCCGTAGTTTTGGACAAAGTCTTGAAATTGTTCAGAGAGATTTATAATTTTGCCCTTTTGAAAATAAAACACGTTATTGAACAAGTCAGCCCCATTACAAAAACATTTAAAAAATCCAGACAGATACAGTTTGATGTACCTAACCTAACCTAATCAATCATGTATACAAAATTTTCGCGGCACTACACGTTGGCTCCGATAAGACTGATTGAAACCACCTAACATTAAATGTACGGATACCAGGTTGTGCAAATAACCGCGCCCTGTTAAGAGTGTTAAGTTCCGTCCGAACACACTCCATGAACAAATGATTCGGTGAGGTCAACCTCTGCATCCAATACAAAAATTTATTTAAAGGAATGTGTACGGATTGAAGCCTATGTGCACTGATAAATAATGACCCCTGCTTAATTTAACTATGTTCAGGTACATGAAGGTACCTAATGAAAAAAAAACACATTACGTAAAAAATGATTGCACTCTATATTTCTATAGATCTTGTAAGTGTTCTTGGAAGATATATGCGGTAAAGGGTTAAAATATAGATTAGAAAATTTATTATATAGGTTAAACAATGATTAAATCAATACAATGGCCGTTTATTTCTATAAAAATTGTGAAATATTCATTAGCATAATTCTAAAAAAATTAAAAAAAGCTTAGTAACTTTTACAAGTTTTTAGCCGAGCAGGATCATCAATTTAAATCTGGTCACACTACACAACAATGTCAACATAACCTCTCGTATCGAAGTTGCTTTAGCTGACCTCTAAAACTTTTATAATGCTTCGAAGTATTTTGCGTACCAGCCGTTGTCTGGCACGGAGACAAATCAATAGTCTAGCCTTAGCCATTCCTCAATATTCAAGTGCTAAAACGATTAAATACAGTTGCAAGTCTCCTTTAATTCGAAGACTTTCTGCATCATCTGATAATCCTCAGGCAGAATATGTGGATCCTGTAGTATTTGAGGAAGTTTGCAATGAAACTTTGGAGTCTTTGTGCGACTATTTTGAAGAATTGATCGACGAGAACCCTAATTTTAAAGGTGCTGATGTAACATACAGTGTAAGTAAAGATCTTTGGATTTTCGTGTTATAATTTCTACGAAAATCTCCTAATTAAAAATAGTTTTATAAATATTTTATCTAGTTGTATTTTTTTTATAAACTTGTTTTTAATAAGGCCTGTAACACTTGGGTGTCAATGTCGGCCTTGTGATGTCAATCCCTGTGGACTATCAGTCCGCTATATCGCGTCGCCTCGCAGTGAGAGACAAGGCCTCACATATGAGTACAGAGTTTTAGCCCTCTTCGTCAATGGATCACTCAACATGATGTTCAACTCCCCGACCTGCCAAACATCCCCCAATCGAAATTGGTTTCTCAGAGCGACACAATGGCCACATTCCATTAAGTGCAGCACATCCTCAAGTCTGTTACAGAATTTACATAGTGGAGATTCCGCTCTTCCCATTAGATAGCAGAACTTATTTAAGGGAAGGTGGCCAGTACGCAATCTAAAAGCCAAGACCAATACATTTCTAGAAAGTGCGCCGTCCACAAACCAGGGCTGTGGATGCACTTGAACAGTGTTGTACCAAATCCCCCTCACTGCAGAATTCTCACCATAGATCTTACTCCACATATCCATATTTAACTCTCTTACAAATGGGATTATTTCTGCAGCAAGAGGTTTACATGACGGTTCCATGGATTCCGTGATAGCCTCTCTTGCTAATTTATCTACTATTTCATTGCCTTCTAGTCTGATGTGTGATGGAACCCATTGCAGCATTATACATATATTCTTGGACAACAAATCAACTAGCAATATCATAGCTTCATAAGCTGTGGGCATACCTTGGCCTCCCAAAACACATTGGACTAAGTGTTGTAATGCACTTTTGGAATCTGTAAGAATAACGACTTTACTAGTATCTACAGAGTTAGCAAAGGATAAAGCTTCTACTAATGCAGTTAACTCTGCTCTCATTATGCAGGACTCCTGACATAATCTTAGTTTAAGTACATTTTGTTGTGGATCAAAAACGGCTGCTCCCACGCCATTTGTACCTTTGGAACCATCAGTAACAATTTTATAGTAATCTCCATATTTATTTGTGACCAGGTTTAATACTATTTCTCTTAAAGTCCTAATATTGTTTTGTCTTTTTGGTGTTGTCATATTACACATCTTATACTTTATACATTTTCTTACATCTAATGAGGAAATCCATGTTAAACATTTCTAGTTTATGGTTTTTGTACATCTCAATATCTTTTATACTTTTGCAAACTTCTACTAGAATTGGTCTTGACTTATTAACCCAATACCTATTTCTGATATTGCTACATTCAGCTATAAGTTCCTGCATACTTTTCAAACTCACTTTGCTGGTGAGTGATGCTGTGGATAACCAATATCTGCAAGCTAACCAGTGTCTTCGCATTGCTAAGGGAGGTAGCGCTAGCTCGCACCCCGTTGCATGAATGGGCGTAGTTTTAATAAAGCTTCCACAGATACGTAATGCTTTATTTTGGATAAGGTCCAGTTTGTGCAAGTGACATTTCACGGAGTTGGCATATAAGAAGCTCCCGTAATCGATGCGACTTCTCAAATAGAGATATGTACAACCTTCTCATGTACTTCGGGTGGACGCCCCAAGAACTACCTGCTAGAATTTTTAATATATTGAGGTGCTTGTAAACTTTTTCGCATAGCTCGTTAATAAGAGTACTCCAGGGCAATTTCGAGTCCAACCATAAGCCACTCAGAGCTTCAAATCGTAAAGATCTGAGGGGCACTGCCACTGCGCCCGTCACCCTAGGACATAAGTTGACAAGTCCTACGTGCCTGTAATTTCACCAGCACCCTTACCCGTCAAACCGGAACACAGTAATGCTGACATTACTGTTTGGCGGCAGAAATAGGTAAGATGGCAGTACTAACCTGGACGAACTCTTTCACAAGACGCTCTACTACTACTAAAATAAACATTTACATTATACTAGTACTGTTGATGTGGGAGGCAAAACAGCCAGGCTCACATAGCATTGAGCGTGTCACGTTAATCAGATGCAACTTCGAGTTGCATCGAGTTGAAAAACAGGACAGTGTGAGTTGAGCCTAAGTGTAAAGTGTAAAGGTAAACTTTTAATTGCAACAGTTTTGCTGCAGTTTGCTGCTCAATTTGTCAAAATCATCACTTGAAAAGCGCGCGATTCCATATTTGCAAAAACTGAAGTTTGTACCTCAACAATGAGAAAATAGAAATGTATATGCTATAGGCGAAAGACATGACGCGTCACGACGCTTGACGAAGCCTTCGCGACGCGTCATGTTTTTCGCAGAGACGTCTGCGCCAGTGTGAGTTGAGACTTACGTTACACTTTGGATTAAAGTTAACATTAAATGTGATGTTTTACGGGTATAAACAATTTCTCAGTAATCATTGTATTCTGTGTGTGTAAAACCATAGGGTATTGAGACAAGTTTGGTAATTCTCTATAAACGTAGCAGCATGACTTGTAAGGCTGCGTTCCCACTTTGACGTGACGACATTATGGTCGTGTAGTTTAAAGTATCTTGGCTTGTATATTTAAATGGAGTTGTTCACATGTAGACACAACACGATTAATGTCGATCGCGACTTTTTTTAAGTTATGCCTGTCTATCACAGACTGTCTAGGCAATGGGAAGAGCTAGAGCGACAGCCGTCAGATGATAAATACAACGTCACAATATTTGACTTTTCTATCGTTACTCAATACCACACCATTAATATCTAATTCTACAGTGAATTCTCTACTGGATTTGTTAAAAAAGCAAACTTTACTTTTATGTTCAGAGATGCATAACCCAATATTTCGTAATTCTTTTGCAAAATCAGATTAAAATTTTAATATCTCTTACTGGATATCATTGCCATGCACCGTCTCATACAGAACAAAATCATCGGCGTACTGCAATATTTTTACGTCTGTATCTAATTTAGTGAGATTCATGGAGACGATATTGAACAATAATGGGGATAAGGGATCGCCTTGAGTTAAACCTCTGTTTGATTGTCTAGCAAAAAGGTTATTATTGGACAATTGAACTATCAGAGTTCTATTAGTTAGGAAATTCCACAGATACTTGCAGATTTTTGCCCCCACTCCAATATTCATCAGCACACTCACCAGTGCAGAGACATTCACATTGTTGTATGCATTACAAACATCCAAAAAGCATGCTAGTGTAGGGGATCCTTTTGAAAATCCCAACTCTACATCTGTTACGATACTCAATAGACAGTCTACACATGAATGCGCTCTCCTAAAGCCTACAGATGCTGGAGATAGCAAGTCTCGACTTTCAACGTGCCACTCAATTCTTTTCATAAGGATGAAATGAAAGAGTTTGCACGGGCAGGACATAAGAGACATGGAGCGTAACGATGATAGAGAGTTGGGGTCACGATATGGCTTCAATATGGGAATTATTTTTATATCGCTCCACTGGCTAGGAAATTACCCCTATGTTTAAAATTAAGTTGTAAATACTTAATAAAAATGTTTTTGCAGGACTCTGGGAAACCCGACTGGGAAGATGAAATAGCATTGAATAGGAAAAGTCATCAACACCAGGGGCTGAATCATTGCGTTTTATGCAGTTATTCAATTCCGCTACAGTTATTTCGTTTTCTAATAAGCTGTTGGGAATGTCTCTTATATCGGGCGGTTTATCTCTAACTGAGTCAGGAGTTAGTGACATAAGTAGTTCTTTAATTTTATCGGGAGCTATACTATTCTTATTACACCTTTTGCCCTTCATCCAGCTCATTCTGCGCCACATTTCTTATGATAACGTTTCCTCTCCAATACCAGAACAAAATTCTTTCCAACCTTTGCATCTAGTAGTTTGTATGCTTACGGGCTACTGAGAGTTTATTTTTGTATATGGTGTAATTATCAGGCGTTGGGTTTCGTCTTACATGTGACGTGTGTGTGGCGACGTTCTGCAACTGCTTTTGATATATTACAATTCTAATACGGTTTAGGTCTAAATTTCGAGCTGGGATCTTGACAACTTTTAACCCATCGAGTACATGACCAGAAATAGAGACGAAATGTCATTTAATTTGTTTGAAAACTATTCTGCCATATCATTACTGTGACAACTGCGCACTGTGATTCCCCCATAGGCCATAAATCAAAAAAAATCATTGGCTTATCCCGGTTAGATCAACTCACTAAGTTAGTAACTAGTTAACAAGCTTCCAAAAACTATAAATATCAATGTAATTAGGTCACGTTATCATTCACTTTTGTGCATCGGAAGTGAGCGCATCGCGAGACTAATTATCACCACGTGTGAGTCATCGAAACTTAATCACTTTGTTTTTGAGTGTCACTATTCCAAATCAAGTGTTTACGTGTTGTGAAAGCATGGAGATCCAAGAGCATGGTATGTACTTTTATTATCAATTTTTTTTAATTTTTTTTATGCATATTTTTTTTTATATAATTTTTTTATTGAAGGCAGTTTTTTGGTGAAAATTTTTGGCATAACTTAATTTCCTTTAGACCTACAACTTTTGGCTGCGCTGAGCTGCACCTGAGGTATATGGTTTTTGAATAAGGAGTATGTCCTTATTAAGAGCTATAAGTTTCATTTGCATCTTGCTGCCTCTTCTTGGCTTAAAGGGGTGTCAAAGTATGCATGTCCATAGTATTGAATTTTTAATTTTTTTTTAAGTTCAGCTTTCATATTGTTTTAGGTACATTTTTCAAATGTTCTGTATCGAGGATGACAATTTTTGATATTTGGCACTCTAAAGTGGGTAATCCAAATGAAAAAATGCAACACGTCCTGAGCACTTTGACCGAAACATCATCCCTTTCTGACGACATCGAAAATATTGATTTAGAGACTTTAAGCCTTAAAATTAAGAATATTTGTAAACGAATTTCCCACTACTGGGCAAAGTCGAATCGTACTAGATCTAAATTCTTAGAAAAATATTCAGATTGGCTGCATGTCGTTGAAAATATTGATGTACAGCGAACTGAGTTACGTGTATCTCAGAGCTTTGACGAAGTTAAACCATCAACTTCTTCATCGCATGGCCGTCCGAGAATTAACTTTGACGACACCAGTAAACGTACAAAAAGGAGAAGATTGGCTAGTTTGTCTAACCAAGACCCTTCTCTTGTACAGTCATTGCTCAATGCGTCCGATAGCTTGTCTTGTCCTGAAATCGATTCTAGCGAAGTTTTATCGCTCATTGTTGAAGCTCAGTTAACTCGACATCAATATATATTAGTAAAGAAATTTATAGACAATAAGTTTTCAAAAACCATTTTCCCATCTTACCAAAGTGTCGTGGAATCTAAAAAACACTGTTATCCTTCAGATATTACTGTTACAGAATCATCCGCCGAAGTCGAACTTCAAAGTTTATTAGATCATACTGCCAATCGGATTCTCAAGTCTCAAAAAGATGTTTTGGATAGTGTACCTAATGAGTCTCTAGATAAGATATCTTTGATAGGGAAATGGGGTTTCGATGGCAGTACAGGGCATTCAGAATATAAACAGTGTTTTTCTGACTCCACTCTTGAAGACAGTAGCCTGTTTGTCACTTCAGCTTGTTTTGACAACAGATAACAAAGAAAATTCAGTAGTTTTGTGGAAAAATCCTCGTCCTTCATCAACTCGATACTGTCGTCCTATACGCCTCCGATATTTGAAGGAATCGACTGCAGTGTCAGTTGAGGAAGAAGCTCATTTTAAAGATAAAATAAGGAACTTGCAGCCTACTGTTTTCAAGGAAGAAGATCGCGAATATCGCATTACTCATTGTTTGCAACTTACTATGGTAGATGGTAAAGTGTGTAATGCACTTAGTGGTGTTTCTTCATCAAAATGTTTTATTTGTAACGCCTTGCCCAGTGAAATGAACAAAATTGACGAATGTTTAAATAAGGAAGTCGATGAGAGTAAATATGAATTTGGTTTATCACCTCTTCACGCGTTAATACGTTTTTTTGAATATTTTGTTCATGTCGCGTACAAGTTAGATGTTAGGAAATGGCAAGCTAGGTCCGCTAATGACAAAATGCTTGTTGCTGCAAAAAAATCATATGTTCAGACTCAATTTAGAGAAAGATTAGGGCTTATAGTGGATAAGCCTAAAAGTGGCGGAAGCGGAACATCAAACGATGGTAATACAGCCAGGCGGTTTTTCTCGAATTCAGAAATTTCCGCTGAAATTACTGGGATCAAGAAGGATCTCCTAGATCGTTGCTGGATCATCCTTCAATGTTTAAATTCGGGATATAATATTAATAAGACGAACTTCGAAGAGTTCGCTTTAGAGACGGCTCGGCAGTTAGTTGCCGAGTATCCGTGGTATAACATGCCTGCTTCCGTTCACAAAGTTCTAATTCATGGTGCTAATGTTATAGATTACGGTTTGTTGTCAATCGGAGAGTTGTCTGAAGAAGCAGCTGAAGCGACTAACAAATACATCAAGTCTTTTAGAAAAAATCATACGCGTAAAATGAGTCGCATTGTGACCAACACAGATTTAGTAAATAGGCTACTTCTTCATTCAGATCCCTTCATAACAGGTCTACGAAAGTTACCTGTTAAAAAAAAAGGTGTACTGTCAAAAGCTGTATTAGACTTGTTATGTATTTAAAGTTAATATTGTTGAGATTTAATGTATTTTGGTATAATTTGTGTTTTGTTTGTATTTTGTAAAATGAACTTTTTTATGTATTTTTATTGTTTTAATTTATTCATTTGTGGTTATTGTTAATACAAATAATCATTATTTACACAGTTTTACCATTAAAAGTCGCAGTATAAAATGTTTTAGATACATCGTCTAAAAACAAAATTACTGCGAGACATTTTTACACCTAAATATTGTCAAATATTTTTTAAAATGTATAATTTTATTAATTTACGTTTACCTAATCATATTTTAACGTAATAAAATAAAAAAATAATAATAATTTCGGAGTTACGTATTTATGACCGCCTTAGTATGGAGCGTGAATCACCGTGCTGCGCTCCGATTGGCTAGCCGGAGTTCGAAACAATGGGTGTCGTCAACTGTTTCACTTCAAATCGACTAGTTAACTTGAGCTTTGCTATAATGGACGAAAATTGCAATATTTAATATTTAATTACCGATGAAATGTGATTCCGTTTGTTTTGTAATTAGATGTTTTGCTGTGTTTCCCACAACAACTGTATTTGTCGCACTGAGCTTTTTTAAAGTTTCTTTTTCGAACGACAGGTTATATTATTTATAGGCCATATCATAATATGGCTATGATATTCAAATGCGACACTCAATATTATATGATCTCTTCCAAACGTTTCATTAGTCACCTTCCAGTTACACTTTTCTGCAATATCTACCGAAACAAAAGTAATGTCTGGCGACGCTAGTTGTATGTAACTGGTTAAAAAATATATTACTTTTCTTTTTTTATACATATATTTTTAACAGCTGCATGTTGTTTTTGTTTTCTCATATACTAGATACATTATAATGATGTTTGATTTTTAACAATAAACGTTTTAAAATGTGTACAATGAATTTTTTGTTTCAGGACGGTGTATTAACAGTAGCATTTGGTCCACCACATGGGACCTATGTAATAAACAGGCAAACTCCAAATAAACAAATTTGGCTAAGTTCGCCAACTTCAGGGCCTAAGCGATATGACTTAGTTTTAAAAAATAATGGTTACTGGATCTACAAACATGATGGTGTACCATTACATAGACTTCTACAAGAAGAAATATCAAAAATAGTCAAGAATAAAGTTGAATTTGAAAACTGTGCTCATAGCTTAGTGTGACAATTTTGTTGCTATTATTTATTTAGTTTAATTTTTTATTATTTTAGTTTGTAAGTAAAATTTATTTTTGTGTTGGTATTTTGGTTTTATTTTATTCAAAATGGAGGTTATTGAAGATGGAAATATTATGGACAGGATCCCTATCCTGTTGCAAAGAGATTTGGAGTACTATCAGGTGAGCAGTATTAGATATTTGTAATTATTGGGTTTAAGAAACCTTATCCTCTTAAAGAATTTACAATTTACTTAAGAAAACTAAACATTAATATGTATATTACTGCATATGCGAGCATGTTGCATTCTTAACAAATAACTATTGTGTGCTTACAAAGAAAAATTTTAAACAACAATCGTATTAAAAACATATCAGACAACTACACTAGCTACCTGGACTCAAACATGGGAATTCATTGCACTATGAGTACCAGAGCAATGGAATTCACTCCACTGGATCAGTGCCCAAAACACCCTGACTTGAACCTAAACTATTGTGATTCAAATCCAGGACGGCCTCTTACAGCAACCAATATGCAAACTGTTGGACCTCCTAGGTAGTTGATTGAATTGCAGAATAGGTTTATTTGACTGGTAGTTGTAAGTATAAGATATGTATGTCAAATTAACAAAAGTTGAAGTGCCACTCAGTGCTTCAAATCTCAAAGACTTGAGGGGCACTGCCACTGCGCTGCGTCACTCAGACATGTCAAAGTCTTTGTCTTCTAACTTTTATATTACAATATTACATTTGTGAATTCAATTTATGAAAAAGAAAAAATATTTTGTATTTATAAATTACAGAAAAACCAAACAGTTTTATCAGAGACGATCTGTCGAGGTGTTGTCGGTGGTCGATTGGATTTTCCGCGTAACGCATCATTTGCAGCTGTCAAGATCGTTAAATGGCTTGAGGATGAGTTCGCTATTGCTTTCCAGTAAGTTTAAAAAAATCTATAATAGATATTCACTCAAAGAATAGAGTAACACAGGAATCACTTCACACATTGTGCTGGGCTATGATTGCGTTAAGTAAAGATAGAATACGTTCTTGAATCACACGTTTGAAGGACGATAAATATGTTCTTGATTTTATATCTAATAATTCATTTTTAGTGCAAATTATCCTCTTAAAATTGTGTCTAAAGATACCTTCACCTATTATACATGGATTCACAGCAACATAATATTATTTAAGAAAAGAGGGTGGAAAGATACACTTACTGCAACATATAGATTGTGTCTCTATAATATATATAATGCAGCTCTGTAACCGCCATGAAACGAAATTTGGATTTCGGACCTTGAATTCGAAAATTGATAGCCTCAAAAGAGTCCTTGTGGCCTCAGAGGCTTTCATACCTATTAGGGTAAAGGCTTGATATTCTTCAATGCATATATAAGTACCAGTAATGAATGATACAAGATCATTACCTATAATTCAATATTTGCTATTATTATCTTGCTCGTTCTTCTCAGGGAGGTCAGCGTAGTGAACGAGCAGTAGCTTAAATGTGACGTTTTCAAGTGTAAATTTATTTTACTTATGGAATAAATAATCTTTGACTTTGACTTTGACTTTTTCCAGGCAAGGTTCAGGCATGTTTGTGACAACAGGAGAGGATACCAAAAATGACGGCGGTGTGGCGAAGACATCTGACCCTGACAAATTTGTTCAGCTGGCTGTCAAATCCAGTGACGCCTTGTTAGGTAATAGACACCACTTATGCAAAAGCGGTTGGTTTTTGTGAGCCTTTAGGTAGCATTGAGCAGTCTACGGCGAACGGCGATGATATCATATCCTTGCGGCTAACTATACCTACTTTCTACCCCAGGTCTATTAATTTCCTTACAAAAAGGACTATTTGGACTCATTAGTATATGTAGGTATACATTTGTGGTCGGCGGGCGTGCCCGTCTATCTTATGGCTTCTGTCTTACAGAACACTTACATGTGTTGGTACAAGAAGCTCTCGACCACGCGGATCTACCTGTATTAACGGCAACACTGGGTGCTACAGCGCTGTTGAAGAACAGTCTATTCTGCTACTTGCAGCATATTGAGGACATGGGCAGTTCGGAGCGACAGTCTATAATACAGGTTTAATAAATAAGTTTTAAATATAACCGGCTTTACAACACTTTACAATTTATTATTTATACCTGGGATCCTATACGACGATATAACAAAATATTTTTTTTACATCGGCTCACAAGAAAACATTATTTCTTAAAAAATATTGTTTTACAAGGTCAATGGTTTTACATCATACTTTGCTTCAATATATTTTAAATATTTTTTAAATGATCCTTAAAAGCTCATTTTATAACTCTAGCTTATATAACTGTAGCGTTCATAACATTGTAAATTGGTAACTTTATACTAACATACGCACTAAGCATCACTTTAAAATTTATAAGTAAATACATTCTATTAAATTATAAACGTTCGAAAAAATTCCAGACATGTTACAAACGTTATGTTACCATGTCTGAGGCGGTAGCCGAGCGAGTACTAGATCTGCATAACCGAGTGTTGTCCTTATACATACTGCAAGACTCCGGCGGCCGGCCTATCGAAGACCAGTTGCGGACTGTTCAAGATTCGGGAACGCCTTCTGTGCAGGGCTGGTGGCTTTATATGAATGGTATGATATTCTTTTGTTTCGTAACTCGTTGGTCACAACTGTAACGAACGTACTATAACCAGAAATTTCGTAGCACAGTCTGCGTCACGTGGATGAATTTCACAGCATTGTTACATTTACTACACATAAACTAAAATTACATATCTATACTTCATTTTTTTAATATAACGGCCCTCTCGTACTTACGGAGAGGTTTTCACCCGCGCCTGTCGTGGTTGCGGGACTGCGGCTTCACCATAGACGCAGCATCTGCGGGGTACCAGTAGAACAGCGCGGGACGGGGCTGTATATAATAAAGTAAACTGTGGGATGTGGTCACCCACGCACTTAGAGACCGGCGACAGTGAATCGCGCCGGCGTCGATCTCAATAACTGTGCGACCTGCGATTATCTCCTGCCAAGTTTACGGTCCGTTCCTCAACCGCGGTGGACGCGAGTGAAAACCGCTCCGTGACTTCTTAGCCTGAGACAGATAGAAATTTTGGACCTTTTATCAGGCGCCATTTTATTCAGTCATTTTGTAAGCAAAGAAATTTGAAAATTACCGTCAAACAAAATTTTGAAATATAATTTACTACTCTTACGTAATTATTCCTTTTTTTCTCGTAGTATTCGGTAAAAATTAAATAAAAAATTTCTGTCTGTGCATAGTTTAATTTATTTCAAAGACTTAATGAATGATTAATCAATTATTTATAGTCTGAAGAAAAAGATTTACGGTCCCCGCATCTTTATTTACAGTTTTTGTAACGGTAAAAAAAACGAAGTATAAACATTTTATCGTGTACCATTTTTAGGAAGTCGCAAAGATTTATGGGACACTGTTCCACCAAGAATGGCACAAAGGATATTCGCCGGCATGCTAAATGAGACACTTACCATTTTAACTGTAAGGTACTGTCAGGTAAGACATATTTAACTTTAATTTTGAACTTTGAAGGTGGTGATTGGTTTTTTGAATGTTCTCTGTTAACTTAATCTTGTCATTCCATTACGATGATACTGACGGTATTGTATATGCTTACCAACGTACAAATATTCATTCATTCGATTTCCAGACAAGGCAAGCAACCTAAAAAGTATTTGAATGTAGTATTACGCTATAAAGCATATTTAATGTCTCTATGAAGCTAATTATCCTATTTCCAGTATTTAAAGTACTTTCCATCCATGTCGCATAGCCTGTACGCCTGTATAGTGTTCCCTGTTAACAATTTCCTATTTTTTTTGCAGACGAATACGACAGACACGACTACACCATTGTTAATAGACGATATTCTAAATATACTATTCTGTGTGGCGCAATTGCTGCCGTGTATCTGTATAAGCGGTGCAGAGCTAGCTGGGTTAAACGTGCGCGGTCAGTCCAGAGACGTGAGAGATGTACACGCGAAGTGTAATGAATTATTTAAATGCTTTGTGTTTCGAGGAGCTGAATTGCACTTTATACATCAGGTAATATATACGTTTTGGAGTGAAATTGTTTATTGTTAAAATAGTGGGTATTTGACCTACATCTCACCTGATATGGAAAGTGACCATGTAGTCGACGATGGAGCACGCACACCTATGTTAGTAGCAGTAGAGTTCCTTGTGAAAGCGTTCGTCCAGGAAAGTACTGCCACCTTACCTATTTCTGCCGCCAATATTACTGCGTTCCGGTTTCGAAGGGTAAAGGTTCTAGTGAAATTACAGGCACAAGGGAGTTGTCATCTTATGTCTCAGGGTGACGGGCGCAGTGGCAGTGCCCTTCAGATCTTAGCAATTTAAAGCTCTGAGTGCCACTGCAACTGTTATAAACAGGCGTATAGCTAACCATCAGGCGCAGGACTTATTCGTCCTGTTACTATACTTTATATATAAAAAATCTTATATAATGCCTATTCACTTTCGTCTGGAAAAGGCCCAAGTTATAGCGTTCAGGGAACAAATCTGCGGGTAGGGCAGTCCACTCCATTACCGTACGCAATATATAAACGTGAAAGCGTAACGCTTCGTGCGAATCTTGGGTATATCCACAACATAGGGTGTAACCCACCGGTGATAAAAAGGGGATGGCTGAGTGATTTCATGCAATTTCTGTAGAATATGTGTAGCATTTCGAAGAACAGTATCGCGCTTTAGATACTTTATAGTGGAGATTTTAAAATATTGGGCACAACACTAAACATGTTGATATCCGTAAAATAATGGTTTTACAGATAGAAAAATGGATGCTTAGATGATCCGGACATGTAGAGAGAATGAATGAAAGAAGATTTACGAAACAGATTTGTAAGAGGAGATACCCCGAAATCCTGGAAGCTTGCAAATGTACAGCCTGTACCTAAGAAAGGTAGCCATGCCGACCCATCTAATTATCGACCTATCGCAATCACCTCCATACTCTGTAAGACTATGGAGCGTGTATTGAACAGCCGTCTCCTTGGATACCTCGAAGATAACGATCTCCTCAGTGATCGACAATATGGTTTTCGCCGTGGACGATCTACTGGGGATCTTCTTGCGTACGCCACACATTTATGGAGCGAGGCTGTCGAGAAACGCGGTGAATCGCTTGCCGTGTCTCTCGACATATCAAAGGCCTTTGATAGGGTTTGGCATGATAGCCTGTTAAACAAGCTTCCAGCTTACGGAATTCCTGTTGGCTTTTGCACATGGATAGGCGATTTTCTGAAGGATAGGTCAATCCGTGTAGTTGTAGATGGTTACTCGTCTGCTCCTCATGGTATAAATGCCGGTGTACCTCAGGGATCTGTCCTCTCCGCCACTCTATTCTTGCTGCATATCAACGACCTGCTGCTGATGCCCGGTATCTTTGGGTACGCAGACGACAGCACAGTGGCGGTGAGTTATGTGCCAGACGCCCGAGACAACAGTGAAGAGATCCGGTGTAAGCGAGAGGCGATGGTCACCCGGTTGAACCTGAGTCTGAAAGCTGCTTCCGACTGGGGAGATGCTAACAGGGTCAGGTTTAATGCGGCTAAAACACAGGCGTGTCTTTTCTCATCAAAACGGAGTCCCCTACACCTTACTCCGACTTTCCGAGGTGTATCCGTGCCGATAAGGGACCACCTTGAGCTACTTGGTCTGGACTTATCATCCAACCTCAACTTTGGGCGATACATCGAGTGCTTGGCAAAAACTGCTGCCAGAAACTAGGCATACTTTTCAAGGTCAGGCGGTACTTCACACCTGAACAGCTTTTAAATCTGTATAAAGCACAAGTTCGATCCTGTATGGAGTACTGCTGCCACCTTTGGGACGGCTCTGCCCAATACCAGTTAGCTGCCTTGGACTCGGTGGAGCGTAAAGCAAAGAGACTTATTAACAATAATCCTCTTGTGGAGTCGAAGCTCCAAAATCTCGATCATCGCAGAAAAGTAGCCTGCTTGACGGTTTTCTATCGGATACATTTCGGGGAGTGTGCGCAGGAACTTTTCAATTTGGTTCCGCCCTCACCATTCCTCCTTCGGTCGACTAGAAGGTCCGGAGCACTCCATTCTTATGTCGTTGATATTCCACCTATTCGCACTAAGCGCTTTGCCTCCTCCTTTCTGATGCGTACGGCAAAGGAATGGAATGCTCTACCGGCATCTGTATTTCCCGAAAAGTACAATTTGGGGCTATTCAAGGCTAGAGTGAATAGGCATTTTTTAGGCAAACGCGTCCCATCGTCGGTCACATCGTCGCTTAACATCAGGTGAGATTGTGGCCAAGCGTGTGTCTATTATATATTAAAAAAAAAAAACCAAATCATAGACGTCGCTCGTAAAGAAAGGCCAGGTCAAGATGAGGTACCCCTAACCGATGAGCATATATGAAAACACTGATGCATGTTGAAGAGGCGAAATATGTTTGTTAGGATCGTAGCAACTGGAATGCCGTTGCCTCTGCATAACCTAACGAGAAAAGTGCGTGAAGGGCGTGTGTATGTAAGTCTTATTAAGGAAATATTAATCTCAATTAAAAAATAACCAAAAATAAATTCCTGCTGCGGTGAATGTGTATTTCAACTTGTCAGCGTTTATACTTTTGTATTAGAAAATTGAAAGTGTATATTAACGACGAGCTGTTGGCGCTGGTATGCTTGTATATATAGTATCGTACAGGTACTTTAGACATTAAGTTAATTTAGACATGTGTGATAAACGTTTGAGTTTCTGTGGTGTACTAATATTGTCAAGTTACGAATTTGACAGTGCGTTGGTTTTTACTGCAGATAGATAGATAGATAGTAATACCGTGTAATTATGTGAAATAGATAAGTGAAATGAATAAATAAATTAATTAATTTTCGTGTTTTTAAATTAGCTCTATCTGGTATTATACCTAACTTATTTCATTTTTATTCGCAGGCCTTCAAAGATAAAGAAGAATCACCAAAAATAAAGGATTGTCCGTACCCTTGGTTCACGTTCGTAAGTCCGATGTTGTTTGAGAACTCGTTCGATGACGTGACCACCAGTACACATGACCTGCCTGATAAGACTGCTATAGGACTGGAACTGATTGTGCTTTTGGCCCAACCGCAGCCTTCTTGGCCTTTGCTGGTTAAGGTAATATGAAAGACGTTTGAGCTTAATAATAGTGTATAATATTTTAAAATGGACTTTTAAATACAGACAAGGAAATTTCACTCATACTCCGAGACAATTTGGTTGACTCCGAGACAGTATGAATATGTTAGGCAACCAACGGTGACATCGTCTGCATTTACCAAATATTACATTCCTAATGTGTCTGTACAGACCAAGTTGTCTTTACTTAATATTTTTTATTGCATCTATCAACTCACATTTTTGGATATTTCAAGTAACACCAGAGATATTAATCGAGACAGTAGTAAGGAAATGCCCTATCGTCGGTTGTTAGCAAAATGGTCCAAGTTTGTAGATTGTACAGCGGCATGAAGTTATAGAAACTGAAATATAGATCATATACTGAGCTGCAAATATTAGTTCTAATGTGGTGATGAAATCTGTACGTCGCAGAAGATTCCCAACCCTCGAAAAACGTGTGAAGTCCCCAACCCGCATTGAGCCGAGTGGTGGCTAAATATGGCCTGAATCGTCGCCTGACATGAGACTCGTGCTCAGCAGTGGGATGTATAAATGGGTTGATAATGAATGAATGTGAAATGGTATATTATTGTACCGTACCTCATATTGTTTATTTACATGAAACATGTACTTACATTAATGATATTCGATTCAATTCAAATTTAATTACAGTTAATAGCGACACCTCTAGTCAGGGCTGGTAGCTGTAATGTTACCTAACTGGGTGACGAAATACTTTCATAGATATCGCATAGATGTCGCTATGGCTAAAAAGTCGTTGAAAACTAAATACAAAGATCCGACAAACACATAAAAAAATTCGAGAGGTCCGCTGGTTTCGGAGCTTAGTTGGCATAGCGTCTCGCACGGTTTGCTAGAAGACGTCATCGGGTCGAAACCGGCCGGGCCGAAGGAATTTTTTCTAATCTCATCATTAAAATAATTATGAATATAATAAAATATAAATTATAATAATGAAAATGTGATACTAACAACATATAAATTCACAGAATGACATGTCTTAATTTCACATTTTTTTTAGAATATTTTTTTTTGAAAAGCATTTAACTGTCGCTGCTTGTCAAATATCCTATCGCACATCAATTAGTTCACCTATAAAAATGGGTTTACGTCATATAGAATATCTACCGCCACTCACAGTTATCGAACTTCCCGGTGGATTTTTATTTATTTATTTGTAGTAACAAATAGTCATACATGAAATTGTAATTATTTACATATATTCCTCTTTAGAATAGACCTATAGTGCCAGCAATAACAATTATAATAGGTAAGACGGCTGTTCACGTGCACGCGACGTAAACAGACAACCTGACCGGACATTTGC